CTACTCCACAAAGAGTCAACTGCCGCTAGCGCGCTTCCGCGAAGACAGGTTCAAGGGTTTCGGGCCGTTTGATAGTGACACAAAAGAGCCGTTGTGTAGAGAGAGTTGCCACAAGCTTTCAATTCTAAAACAGAGCTAGTTGCAGGTACTCCGTTTCCGGGCTGTCAGCTTGCAATATGACCCTGAGATAGTCTTGAGACATGAGTGAGAGTGCCCACGGCCAATGTTCGTGACTCATCCTGGGGGATTGAAGCTAACAACTAGCACCGCGCTAGCGCCAAACAGGCACCTTGCGGAAAACACGCAGCGTGAGCCGGTGAAGTGAGCAGGTCCTGTGTAGTGTACGTAACAAACTTCCTTCTACAACATCATGAGCGCAGGCCCATGTATGTGAGACCTGCATACATTAATTATAGGGAACACGGTTGTAGGAAGCTGATCAATGGAAACACGTTGTGGCCACGGACTCTGTTTGACTTCGCAGCTTACCTGCTCTGATTCAATGAGGATTCAGCATCGAAGCCTAATATCCTTTCCAATCAGCAAGCACGCGGCCTCAAGCTATCCGGGTCTGCCGGATAGCAAACAGATCCATGCGGAAAGACCACGGAAGCGCCGTCGAGCTAAACCGTTTGAACTCTATTCTGGACGAACGCGCCCTGGTCTCAGAGCCTTCTATGAGACGTTGCGCTCAATTGCCTGTGCATGTTGCCCCTGCTGCCCTGTATCTGGCCGCGCAAACATGTTGGTGTTCGTTTGCTGCACCCCGAGTCAGAAGCTCGACCCACAAGTAGTATCCAGCGGACATGTGAACGCGCTTAATGGGGTGCCTGCCAGAAATCATGGCATTCGACATGGATCACATGCGGCAACGCCGATCATCAACTTCAGACTGTAGAGGACTGGTAAATGGCCTTCCCGGACTTTTTTGCACCCTCTGCACTGGCTCCCTGAAGCAGAGTCAGGAAGTCATGTAGAAGGGCCAAGCCTTGGCAGATCTCGGCAGAAGCATCCCAACAACTTCAATCTTGCAACTCAAGGCTTCCTATTTCCCAGTCTCTGCGATCCTTTCCGCTGCACAGATTAAACCCTAAACCCTAAACCCTAAACCCTAAACCCTAAACCCTAAACCCTAAACCCTAAACCCTAAGGGTTTAGGCCATGTGAAGAAGCAACACCGGAGTCTCGGAGCCTGGGCTCCCGGGCCCTGCTGTGGCGGATATTCGCTCAAACCTGCCAAAAGAGCCCACATTCTCAACATTTCCCCGTGCAAGCTCTATATTCTATACTAGATTCTATACCATCCGCAACATGGCGCATGCAGCCGGGGTTTGGTCGCCTCTCTGTGAAGTAGGGGGACACCGAACTGCGATCTCCAGAACACGGAAGCAGATTTGTCAGCAGACGGGCCGTGGACCAGAACCCCAGCACATGAACCACTATTAGCAAGCCCAAAGAAAGCCTGTGAAGTGGGCAGCGAAATCTCCAGGAAGCCAGTGAGACTGCCCTGCGAGATGGATCTACGGCTGCCAGGTTGTCATCTTGTAAAGGCTGGTAGGCCGATTGCACTACATTTCACTCCATGGACGCGCTCAGCCAGAGGTTGCTTCGGAAAAACCTTTTGCGGTCTCCCCCCCCCCCCCCGGAAAGGGAACCACAAAACCCTAAACCCTAAACCCTAAACCCTAAACCCTAAACCCTAAACCCTAAACCCTAAACCCTAAACCCTAACCGTAAACCCTAAACCCTAAACCCTCAACCCTAACAGAGGGGAACCTGGCCGAACGAAGGACTGAAGCTGGCGATGTGGAAGCAAGACCTGAGAGCACCCCACCCGACTCCTCGACTTTGCTTTGCTTTTTGTTTGGGGTGGCAGGGGGGGGGTTTTGCAGGGAGGGTTGGCATGACTGGAACATACTAAATATTAGGATGAGTATATATATATAATTACATATATATGTCGTACATATTTATGTAAGAGTTACTGGAACCTTCATTCATCGAGCAAAAAGGGTCGCCAATGCGCGCCGCCTGAAGACACCCAGTCCAAGCTGAGGCAGGCGGCGAAGTTCCTGGATCCGTAAATCTGCATATAGTCAGCAAAGGCATCCTGCAGGTGAGCCACCCATGCTTTGACACTTCGACTTCCTAGCCCAAGCCTCGCACACTTGAGCTTTCATGGGCAGCAGTCACGCATGAGCTGCCCTGCGACGGGCCATGCTAGCTTGCGCAACCTGCGCATGCCCAAGGACTCCAGCTTGCATCACGAGACCACAGCGGGCGGCCGATGGACCCATGGACCCATGGACCCATGAACCCATGGACCCTTAACCTTTAAACCCTAAACCTGGCCCTCCAAACCCTGTAAACCAGTGAAGGTTCCAGACGCTAAACCCCAAGCCGACATGTATATATATATATATATACATATATGTATATACATACAAAAAATGGAGTACAGATATATGCCCTATATATCCTAATATTCAGCAACGGCAGAGCTGCGGAAGGCCTGGTCCCAAAGGCCCGTGATTCGCGGCCTCACTCCAAGTTCTTTCCAGGGCTTCCAAATCTACAATTCGCTGCAGTCGGACTTGTGAAATAAAGTCAGAGCTATGGGAGAGAGGGCTCTGGCCAAGATGTTTGTCACAAGCCTCCAACTTCCTGGCAGTAGGACCCATAAGGCCCCGTCAGCCAGGCGTATCCGTTGATGCGCTTCAGGCGTCGTCCTAGCAAGCAGGCTGCGTCAAGCTTTGTGCCTGCGTGGTTGACACAGGGCAGCGCCAGTCTTGGAATGATCACAATGTGCAATCTGTCACAAATAAACCAGCCGACGGGCTCGTGATTTTGCTTTACGTGCTTGGCACCGTTTTGCACCTACCTAAGCCGCTGCTTTCCTCTTTGACTCTCTAACTGCTGCCGTGCGGTACCGTCACTCAATCACAAGTGGTGAACGGCGAACACCCACGGCTTTGTACCGCGCCTAGCTGAAATATCTTGTCCAAAAGGTTCAGCCTCCGGATCGTCAGATTTGGCAGTGCCCATAGCCAGAGATGCCACTACAAGGTTAATGGACCAAGAAGATCAGCCGTGGCAAATGCCCTTGTCCCTACCAAGATCGTCAGAATGGGTGTGCCAGAGATGTGTCGCCACTGTTTTCTGAAGTAAGCTGCATGCGTGAGGGGCGATGATCGCAGTGCCAGGACCTCATGCTCCACTCACACAAGGGGAAGGAAGCCGAAGCCATGTCTGTGGGCGACACAAGTTCGCCATGACCGACTCACGCAGCTCAGAAGCAGTCACAAGCATATCCATAAGTCTGACCCAATGACTTCTACTTGTAAAAGGGGCCCCAGCCCCAGTGTTGAACGGCACTCGTGCACTGACCTGTCCGTCTCACATGAGTTGCAGCATGTTGTTGAAAACTTGGGATCAAGTTAGGACACTTGATGACATTTGAGATTCTTGAGCATGCCAACCTAACTATATCATCTCACACACACACAGATCAAGGTTCATGGGAGAGGGAGAGGGAGAGGAAGCGGGCGAGGGCGATGGCGAGGGAGAGGAAGAGGGAGAGATAGCGCGGAGAGAGAGCAGAGCAGACAGAGAGCGAGAGAGAGCAGATGGAGAGAGAGAGAGAGAGTGCAAAGAGAAAGAGAGCAGAGAGACTGATCAGAGAGAGAGAGAGAGAGAGCAGAGAGGAAGAGAGCAGAGAGAGAGAGAGAGACAGAGAGAGCAGAGAGAGAGAGAGAGAGATAAAAACAAGAAAACAGAAAAAAACAGAAAAAACGAAAAGAGCAGACAGGGATTTTGTCAAGAGAACCAGCAAGACTCAGCAAGACTCAGCAAGCTGCGCCTGCTCGTCGAGAGAGGCCACGACCAGCTTTTCACCGTCCTGGCTCTGTTGAGAGGATCTGTGAGATGCTTGGAGTCGCAGCTGGGTGCGACATGTGCGACTTGACCTGGCTTACTTTACTCCACAGTGCGCCATACTGGCAAATAAATGTTTGCAGCAGCTACGAGTAGCCACCTTGCTGCCTGAAAATCCCAAACAAATTCAGGGCCCCGAGGATGTTCGCTTCGGGAAAGGCAAGACTCAAAGTTTAAAAGCTCAGAACTCTCCGTGGCCAATGGGCTTGTTCATCTGTGATTTCTAGGCCTCACGGGTGCTTCGGGGTTTTCGGTTTGTGAGATAAAGCGCTGCAATCTGCTTTCGTTTTGAAGTGCTATGAAATGCAATGAGCTTCCAACCGTAGAGGCATCCCCGCTGAAATGCTCCACCTCGGCACAGCACCCGCTTTCTTCGTAACCACTGCATCACTGACTTATGAACCTTGCAGTCAAAACGGCAGTGAAAGCAGAAAGGTACGAGCACGTGTTCGTCGCCGATGAGGCAACGTGAACTGGTCAACAAGAACACACCTTTTACCTGCAGCTTCTCCCCTTCTGGCCCAGTCTCTCGCATCACATCAAAGACGAGACGATTCAAACACAAATTTCACCACGCTTGACGGCAGCTCAGGGGTTGGCCAGCGCGTCGTGGATCGGATCGATCCTGCTGGCCGACTGCCATTGCTGCGTGATATGTTATCAATTGCGGCCATAGGGCCTTTTTGGAGTGAGATTCCCCCCCCCCCCGCTCCATCCGTACCAAAGGGGATTCGGGGGGCAGTCCTGGGATTTGTGATCAGGATGTCATCATCCACGCACACCACGGCTTCGTAGCTGCCCAGGATGAGGGCCTGCTGAAGCATTCACTTCCCGCCGCTGCCCTCGACGCCTGAAAAAGGCGCCTTGGATGATAGAAACGCCATGAAACGCCAGCCAAGCAACTCGCCGGGCATGAGCCAGCTTATTCCAGGCTGGGTGGAAATCCCGCCGATCCACGAGGCCCTCCTGAACGCGAACTATCAGGATTTTTGAGGCCCCAGCATGACTTGATCTGTCCCACTTCCTTCTCCAAGAGCAAGTCGTAGCGCCCTGGGTAGCCTGGAAGTCTAAGTGCAAGCTCTGGGGAGGATGGCGGATGGCAACTGTGACATTCTTGTGTGACCCCAGAATGCTCGAAGAACCGAGAATTGCGCTCAGGCATGACTACTGCGAGATGCCAAACCTTGAAGACAAGCATCCTGGATCATCCTGGCCCTCCCCTCTCAGGGCTTCTTATCCAATTCGGGAATTCTATCTCCGACAACACAGGATCCTAAAATCGAAATCCTCAACTGAAGCTGCGATCCTGCGAATCGTCACCGAGGAACGTCCCACGAAGTCCTCCAGACTCGGCCTTCCCCAAGGCTGCGTGGAGGGGGCCAGGATGGCTAGGGTGGCTCCTAGCTCAGTGGCTGTTTGCGCGGCCTCTTGGTGGGAATAACAAAGACCTGTTGGTTCTAATTCACCATAATTGGAACATTGAGCCTTTTCACCCTGGGTCCGTTTCCTGCAGCTTGAGCTTGTGCCTGTGACCGTCGTCTGTTCTGCCGCCACACTTGCTTCAACATGGCACATGGTCAGTCGCAGGCATGTTCTCACTTGGTCCCGCAACTCCTGCCCAAAACGCCAAGCAGGGCCCCTGATAACAACATTCAAATATTCGAGTATTATATGACCAGTGTTATAGCATCGCAATACTAGATTCATTTTACTACGATAACATGATAAAGGAGTACATTGAATATATTGAATAGGATATGCCACTCTTCATGTCATTCTAACAACGAAAAAAGAGGGGCCTCGTGAGCTTCCCGAGAGGCCGATCTGAAAAGCGGAGCAGCGCCCAGCGCCCCCGCGCTGGAGCTGCCAGGGGGCCGACCTGTCGCAGGAACGCGAGCTGCTCCTGAGGGTTACTAGGGTTTAGGCCCTCTAGGGGTTTGGGATTTTAGGTTTTTTGGGTTTAGGGGGTTGGGAATATTAGGCTCTAATAAAGAATTAGAACATACCTTGCCCAGTTTGGGTAATAATACCACCAGTCAACCCATTAGACGATTATTCCTATACTCCCCCCTACACCCCACCCAATATATCACTACTACTTCCCCATTATCAATACCAGTATAGGAATAACCAGTTACCCCATCTATATTCTCTAAGGTGGTATTATTACCCAAACCGGGCAAGGGGTTCCTTGTAGAATTTGGTTCAGGGTTTGGGGTCAAGGGTTCGGCGCGGTCTCTCTTTCTGGGTTCGGGGGTTTCCTGGTTTGGTGTATCTCAATTCCCAAACATATATAAAATCCAATAGGAGAAAAACTCATCTCAATCTAGAACTCGATCGGAATACATCTTTTAAATTCACTTACAAACTTCCGATGGGAATAACTCATGCATATTCCACCCAGTCGGATCCTTCTTTTTCTCATAAGCAAACCCGACGGAACAACAAGATCCGACCTCTTAAACGCGTGGAAAGGAAAGCGTTGCACAAGTTGCTTGTCCTGTCTCGAACCTGCACGGATGGGCACCAACAACACAACAAACTCGGGTTCTCACATGTTCTTGAGAAGCCCTACTACAAATGCAAGTCGTGAAACCACCGGCGACATTCACCTGAAACTCGTCAAGAAGCTAACAACTCAACTCTTGAACCCTTTCACCAAACACAAGTTTCAAGTAGTAGAACAACTTACAATTCAAGTTGTGAAAACCCCCGCAACTTCAAAGACGAAGCAAGAACTACACCTTGAACAGTTCAAAGCGCAAATACACCCTGTCAGTACCTTCAACATAATAATATTTTTGACCCATTTGTTCATCAATTTTTTCTATAGTATAAACATTTTGGCTGAAATTGCCCACTCTCTCTTTTTCATTGGGTTTCCTTTTCCTAAACATTTTAACTTCATCACCAATGCCTAGATCAGGATAGACCCGATTTCGCTTCGCATTCATGTTTAAGTGGAGTTTAACTTTCAATTCGCTACTCGGTTTTCTGGCATCCTTTGGCGTGAAGCCAGTCGCCGAAGGCTTCATTTTATTATTATATGTTAGTAACACCTAAAATATATAATCCGTCCACTGAATATTGTTTTTACCCTTTTTCTGATCAGCTTCAACCCTTCCATATAGAAGATCTTTAAAAGTTCTGATGCCTCTCTCGCTGAAATTCGGGTGTGCCCTCGTTCTATGGTGTTCTATGTTCTCATCCTTCAAATACTTCTGTATCGCTTCTGTGTTCAGTGCAGTTTCATCGTCTGTGTAAATGATTTTTGGTTCCTTCCCCATTTTATGTACGCATTCAATCATCCCACTCGCTAGGTCTTCTTCTTTCTTGCCTTTAAGTGCCACCACGTGCATAAACTTAACAAAGATGATCAATAACATTCCTACTCTAATTTTTTATCTTTCAAATCGTTGATAAAAAAACACGTCCATCTGATACTCGTATGCGGAATGCGGGGCGACAAAGCTATTGGAACCGACGGGTTTTCGTTTTTGATCAACATTCTTCCTAAAAACCTCGTTAATATCAGACATTGTGATGGTTTTGTCTTTCTCCCGTGCTTCTTCTAAAGTCCGTCTTCTACTACCGAAACCGCTTCCATCGTAATAAAGCTTGCTAATTATATCATCTTTCTTAGAACTACTCATTATAGTAAAGATTACATTTTAACTTTTTCAATCTTGTTTCTGTTGCTCTGAAAATAGTTGGTGCTTCATACTTCGGGAATGCCTTGCTCTAACAGTCCAGACACATGTGGCGCCACACCCGCATGCAAAGGGTCTTGCCTGTTTTGCCAAGATCGTGCCTTTATTGGCTTCGTAACGCTGTTTGCGATACTTCTGAATATATTCTTTATGACCTTCTATGTATTGTTTGCTTTGAAAAATAATATCTTCTCTATGGTTTTCATAATATTCTCTCCTTTTGTTTTTGAAATACTCGCTATATTCGTCGTGATACTCCTTATGTGTTCTTCCTGCTACAGTTTGGGTAATAATCCCACCTTAGAGAATATAGATGGGGTAATTGGTTATTCCTATACTTGTACTGATAATGGGGAAGTAGTAGTGAAATATTGGGTGGGGTGTAGGGGGGGAGTATAGGAATAATCGTCTACTGGGTTGACTGGTGGTATTGTTACCCAAACTGGGCAAGGTATGTTCTAACTTATAGGGTTTAGGGTTTTGGGATTTTCGGCTTTATAGGGTTTAAGGGTTTGGGATTTTGTGCATTCACGGCATCACCGGCTTCTGCAAATACATAAGGTCAACAGAACCTTTGAGTTTTGGTGGCGGTAGTCCTCAAAAAGATGATGACATCTCCATACTCTGGCAGTGGTTCTAGTTCATCAGAAAAATTCGGACGGGGGAAAGCCAATCGTTACCATGAATGAGTCGCCACCCTGACCATGTGGATGACCTGAGCAGCACTTGCTTCCCGCGATGGAGTGGGGAACCTCCTAGGCAAACTTGAAACTTTCGTGATATCCAGTGTGCGCACGCGCGCCTCATTCTTTAGGATGCCTGGCATCCACATTCTCTCGTTAGGGGTACAGGAAATGTAGCGGCGGTAAAGGATTAAGATGTGCAAGTGTTTTTCTATGTGGCGGGCTATGGATTCAGCTGATGCTCCCAAGATGAAAACCTTTATTCTTTTGATGGTGGTCGGATCTAGCGGTAACTGCCACCCCTGCAATATACGAAAGCAGCTGCGGGAGCGAAAGTTTCCCCATTTCTCGGTCTCGGCTGTCATGTTTTTTTGCAGGCATGAAGGTGCACGCATTGGATGTGCTACTTTTCCAATGCTCGGGGCCGCACGGAAGCGCTTGAGTGCCATCTTTCAGCGGCGGCCTTCGGGCACATGATTCACATGCCGCTATGTTGCAGTAGACTCAGTGACCAGAGATACTGCCCTTGATTACGGCCAATATCTGCCTTCGCTCTCTGCAGAATATTGCAACCCTGCAGCCCGAGGCCTGGTGTCGTGCAGCAGCCCACGGGCAGAGGCCATCGAAGGCGGCCGCACTGGCACGCGAGGGCACAGAATAACGAGCAAAAGTGTATAGGCATGAGCATGATATGAATGTGGGACTGTCTGTGTTAGAATATCATGGTAGGGATGGCTCATAACGCACGTTGTTTTGGCCGTCCGAGTCCACTCTCATGGGGTGTCACGGGTGCTCGTCTCCTGCCACACTCGAGGCCCGAAGCCAACTGGTGGCGCGTGGAGTTGACCTGGCATAGGTGCTCGATGCCAGGAAGCAAGTGTTACGTACGGAATGGTCACGGACAAAAAAGAGCAAGTGACACTGAAACTGAGGACGCATGAGGACAGCCCAGCAACTCCGCAAGCCTCTCTTGCAAAAGCACCACTCCCAGCTTCTGGCAACAGCTTTTTCACAGCTTGCAATCACCACCTGCCCTAGGAATGATTCTGACTATGGGGACAGTCTTTGCCCGAGAGTCAGCACGAACCTTCAGTGCAGGCCATCCTTGTCTATACTCGACAGCTCTGAAGTTGCATTGGCCTTCAAGCCTTGCATAGACAATCCCATGCCAAAGTTAACACGCATCTTGGTCTACATTGGATACGGTGCCTCTCCCGAGAATACCCATAAGGTAGGTCCATTCTTCAGTATGGATACCACTGTTAGTGGACGCTTATCCCCTGGCTGACCCTTAGAAACACTCGGCACATGTCGTCATCATGTTGTAAGCCGTTGCCGCTGCACCGACTGTTCAGTTCATTTTCAGAGGACGCTCGCCAACACCTTCAGAACTTGAAGGGTCTGCCTCAAGCACAGGTAGGGCCACGATGGCTCGCTGCATGCAGACTGTCTCCCGATGAAAATTGTATCTTGCAGCTGCGAAAATCAGAGCGAATCTGAGCACCATACTTACTATAGACCCCCTATTGCTACCCTCCCTCGCAGAACGCCAGCAGGCTATGTCCCCTACCCATTTCCCGTCGCACGCGCTGAACGCACCACGTAGTGGTCCTCAGCCCAAGTTGGGATCACATCGGGGTCTGAGTTCTTCCGAGGCAGCAGGACAGACATCTTCAAGCAAGTCGAGGCGCAACAGTGTCTACTATGCTTTCTATGACGGAAGGCAGCTTGACGGCAGTTTACTTCTTGCCAAAAACTACAGTAACTACAGAAGCTGCAAGATTGCCAGGGTGTTGACGTGTGACCCTGCTGGGCTACAAGCTCTGCAAACTCGTCACCTTGGTATAGGGCCACGTGGTTTCTGCGTCTCCGAGCACGAAGAACTGCAGGAGAATGGGGTTCGTGCTTTGAGAGAGGAGGCTTTTCGTTCCTGGGTCGTTTCTTCCTGGGTCCCGTGCGTTCTGCAGAGCCGCCAGGGAAAAGCAGAGAAAAGGAGCGCCCTCCTGTCCTGGACACTTGACATTGTGCGTGCGCAATGCCTTCGGGGCTTGGTGGGGCTGCGTTGGATCCTGTGGATCCCGCTGGATGGTCAATGCTCGGACTCCTTGTTCTGCATCCTGCTGCTTCTTAGTGTGTCTTCTAGCCCTACGCCAAAAAATACCCTGAACCCGAAACCCTGAACTCTTCGACTGCCGGCAACTGAACAACAAATCAGGTTGCCCAAGTGCCCGGCGCAATGATGACGACGCCCGCATCTTCCGGGTCCTCAGTGGGAATACGAAAGGAACAAGACTCAAGAAGTTCTCTTTTGGGTTCGTTTTGGAGGTTCGGGGTATGTCGGTGCCCGGGGGGCTGTCTTGATGATGCCGTCACTGAAGTGAAGGTGCAACCTCTTGTTGCCTTTGGTTGGCTGCGAAGAATTTAGGTTCTGGGGCTTCGGACTCATGGCTTTCCAAAAACCCATTCGAGACTCCAGAATCCGCCAATGCAAATCATGGACCCATTCAGCGGTCCATATGACACCACCCCGCCTTTTCACCACTCCTGTGCTCCATGCGGGAATCTACGAGAATAAGAGACCCTTAATATAAACCCCTAGATTGTAGGATTCCTTGGAAATAAGAAAACAAGGAGGTACCCCCTAATTTCGGAAACCCCTATGTCCGGGCTCCACACGGGATGGTCTTGGGGCACAGGCTTGCTGGCTACAAACCTGGCGTGTGCCCAACCAAGCACTAGGAGTGGTCAAGACCACACTCGTCTATTGGTTTTACTTTGGGATGCTCCCCTGATACTAACAGTCCTTAATCGGGATTCCAAGAGGGGGATACTATAATCCCGATTAAGGACTGCTAGTTTTAGGGGAACATCCCAAGGTTTCTAAGTTGACGGCCTGGTTGTGCTTTGGACGCTGCGCTTGCTTTGGGAGTGCTGATGCTGAGCATACCCTAAACCCCAAACCCCAAACCCCAAACCCTAAACCCTAAACCTTAAACCTTAAACCCCAAAACCCTAAACCCCAAATCCTAAACCCTAAACCCTAAACCCAAAACCCTAACCCTCGGTGTCGCGTGGCTCAGGCTCGGGCGTCCTCAGCAAGCCGGTGGCCAGCGACCCCGACTTCCTGAACCCCAAAACAACTTTAGGGGCATGCATGCACCTGCAGACGTGATGGCTAGAGCCCAATGGATGCCACGTTGTATGACTATATTCTGTTAGTGTATTGCTGTGTTTTTACATGTCATCATAATATTCTATGTTTGACAGTATGATGTTCTGTTTTTAGCATAGTATTAGATTCTTCTGATATTGAATATCAGAAGAATCTAATACTATACTAAAAATAGAATTCTATTGTTCTATGATTGGAAAATTTATGGTTCTATTGTTCTGCTACATGACTATTCGATTTTCTAGTTTCCTCCGATTCTATGATTCCATTCTTCTATTGCACATTATTCTGTGTTTATATTCACACATTACTATTTTAGTCTGTTATTCTATTTTCCACTGTGACTGGAAACGGCGCGGGCGTACTCGGCCTGCAGTCGCGGAACGCGGCCACAATGACGTTTTCTATTCATACATTCATACATTCTTGTATTCGGATTTTCTACTCTACCATTACTACTAACTCAATGGACTTCATCCGCTGTGCCTCGGAGGTTCGCGATCCAGCCTTCGCAACCTGGCAGATCTGAAGCGCATCGAAAAAGATACGGGTCTCGTGTGGCCTTTCGCATAGCTTCTTTAAGTGCAATGTAGGCCCCAACATGCCCCAACTCACCATCCTCTGTGCAAGCTGATTGCGGAAGTTTTTCGTCTGCAACGAAAAACTGCAGTACTGTCAGAGAACGCAGATCTGGCATTCGCTGTGAGCGGACTTCAGGGAATCGGACCACTCTGCTGAAGCAGTAAGTCTACAATGATCCAAACATGGCAGGGATACTTGATGAACTCTTGAGAGACAGCGCCGCAGAACACTCCAGTCAAACTGGGCGTCGGGTTCAAAGTCAAGGCTGTTTTGAACGGGACGGGCTGCTTGTCTCGGGTACTGGAACGCCGAACACATCTAAGCCTCATCGGCACAACAGCCATCATGCCACTGAGTCGGACATGCATTATGATTTCCTTTTCCTCGCGCTGAGCGATACGAGCTGGCCGGCTGGAGATCCAACTTGTGTCCCGAGTGCCTCCAAAGACCTAGTGACCTATAGTGATTCGCATCTCCTTCATGCGGTCAGGGTCATCGTGCCCAAGACCATGTCCAGGTCGACGGTTCGCGAGGAGGTACGTAACGCGTATGGGCGCTTTGTGGATCTAAGCTCCAAGGCCCAGGGCCACGTGCATGATGATGGCTGTCCAGACTGTGATGCCCAAGAGCACCAGCCAGATGGCATTCAAGGCCGTTCCCTTCATGTAGAAATACCTGAGCGTCACATAGGCCACAGTTGCCCCGCAGAAGGAGCGGCAAAGCCCTCTCAACACAAGCCGTCTCAACAAAAAAGGTGGTGCTTCAGGGCGAAGGCACAGAAGCTGGGCAGCCTCGACGGCATAGCTGAAAAGCGCCAGGTACACCATATCCTCCAATCACCAAAAAACAAGTGATGATCCGCTGCATCCTGAAGCCAGTGCACCTACTACTCAAGGAGATGACTATGTTACCGGTTCAATCTCTTGTAATCACGACTTGGACCGGTGGCTGGTCCAGCTCTTCCTTTCAGATGCACTGTAAACCTCAGTCATCCTGAGCACTAAGCGGTCCTCCGTCTGATAATACCCCGCGCAGAAACGGACCGCGCCGTGGAGCAGAAAAGCAAAGCCTCCTGCACTCCGATGAGTAGGTTCAGGGTTTAGGGGTTTTAGGGAGCTTTCCGAGAATGGGGGAGAGGGGGTGGGGGAAGGGTACGCGTGTTGGGGGGGGGGGGGGGTCCTAGAACATATCGTATCTTGGAGTACATTGAGGGGTGCCCCTAGTTTGGGAAACTCCCGCAGAAGCGGCATTGAGCGGCACTGGGCTCGAACTCTTCGGGATTCAACTATTACAAAGGTTTGTGGGTTCTGGTGGTTGCCAACTTCAGCGGCCTCCTCCTTTGTCAAATGTTCCAGTTCTTCCCCCATGAAATGCGATTCTACAAAGAGGCTCAATACAATTCCTACTTTCTCCCAGCTCCTTGGCGGTGGAAGAGCTGTATCAGTTCCTCGATCTCACCTAGGAACATGCAAGGATTCGTTCGGATTGACACAAGGATGGGACACGTACACCTGCATCTATACACATGCCTGGCTTCAGGGGCAAGCTCATCACAAGTTGAGGCACTTGTGCAGCCGAAAATGCTTCGAGACCACCAAACCGGATCAGATCCCAGCCGAAGTAAACGGGAGCCGACGCCGATCAGCCCTACTTCAACCCAATGCGCGTTTCTCCATGCCCACCTTGCTTCTTTCCAGCAGGAAATTTGGCCGCGATCAAGTCCTTATTGCTGGTGACAGGCAGAGACACTTGCAATTTCATGATGCATGTTTTCACTGGGGTAGGGTCCCGAGACATAGTGGTAACAATGCAAGATCGCTTTGCAAGGATTGCCTCTCCCCCTCGTTATATATCCTCAGCTGAGACTTTGAATGTCTCTTTTGCGATCGAGGGTCCGGCACCGCAAAGGCACCGGGGACCAGGAACACGAAAAGGTCCAGTGCTGCATTCGCATAGAATGCTTTGCACATCCATGACGGTAGGGACATTGCCCTCAAGCTCTGCCGCACCGCTACACTGCTACGTTGCACAAGCTGAGCCCCTAACACGATAGCTGCATTGAAAAATGGCGTTGCCCTCAAGCTCTGCCGCAC